CACACACACACACACACACACACACACACACGCACACGCGCGCGCACAGACATACACCTACATCCCCCTTTCCCCCCTCCCTCCCCCCCCCTCCCCATGTCCACCCTCCCTCCCCGCCACCAACTCCTAACCCCCTCTCACCACACACCCCGACCCACAGAGCAACGAAAGGCCACCATGGCTGGCGTGGAGCGAGCCTTCAGCGCTGCCAACAACATTGTACGCGCACTCCCCTCCTCCCCCCCCCCTCCCCCTCCCCTGCCTCGCACACACCACTCGCACTCACCAAATTCCGCACGCGCATGTGATGCCGAGCCAACCAACAGCTGCGGCAGATGGAGCTGGAGATCCGCTCGCTACCGCCGGCGTCAAAGAACAAGCTCACCCCGCGGCTGCGCAAGTACCAGGCTGATCTCACCGTGCTCAAGCGCGACATGCGCCGCATCGGCTCGCAGACTTCCGCCCAGGCTTCCCGCGACGAGCTCATGGCCGGTGCCGCGCCTGGTGCGGGCGCTGCCTCGCTCGGCACCGGCGGCGGTGCTATCATGTCTACCCGCGAGATTGCCCAGCGCCAGCGCATCCTGGATGGCAAGCGCCGCCTCGAGGAGACGTCCAACCGCCTCTCCAACGCCCAGCGCCTCGCTCTCGAGTCCGAAGAGATCGGCGCCAACACTCTCTCCGAGCTCCATCAGCAGCGTGAGATCATCGAGCGCGCCGACCGCAACCTCTACATCGCAGACGACAACGTCTCGCGCGGCCACAAGCTTGTCCGCACCATGGTACGTCCGTTGCCGCACCCACTACCCCCCTCCCCCCCTCCCCCTCCTCCGCCCCGCACTCACCCCACACATCGCGCCCACAGAACCGCCGCCTCGTCACCACCAAGATCATCACCGGCGTCATCGTCCTCCTCATCCTCGGAACCATCTTCACCATCATCTACTTCAAGTGGATCAAGAAGAAGTAACCGCCGCCCTCCGCTGCTCTCCATGTCCCCCTCCCTCCCGCCTCACCCACATCGCGACTCTCGTAAACTCGACCCATCTCTGTTGGATCTCTGCATTCCATCCTCGGCACACTCCTCTCGGTTGGCATGGCGCTGGCGGCTACCGCCGCTGCATGCTCGACCGCCGCGGCCGCCATCGACGCCGGCTCACGCACACTACCATCGATAGAAGAGTCATTCTGGAGCGAGTACCTCCCTACTCTTCAATCGACCATCGCCCGCTTTCCATCACATGTCTGGTGCTCCTCGCCCATGGTCTGGATGCCTTGGCTCGCCGCACACCTCGCCGCCGCCTCCTCCTCACCATCACCCGTCCACCCCCTGTCCCCCCCGCTCGCAGCCATCCTTGCTGCCTCAGACGCCTCGCTTGACCACTGTACCAAGTGTGTCCATGCACACTTCCAAGGTACGCCATGGAAGCCCTCATACCTCCTCTCTCTCTCTTTCCCTTTCGCCCTCGTCCTCTCCCGGCCCGCCTGCGCGGCACCCTCCCGCTGTGTGCCCTATCCTTCCTGCTGCTCCAAACTGCGACCTTTTTTGTCCGCCACCCACTCACCCGCCCTCCCCCCCCCACCCCCACCCACCCACCCAAACTCGCAGTCTACACAGCCATGCACCGTGCCGACTACGACGATGCCTTTGATGCCATGCACTGTGCCCGGCTGCGGAAAAGCGTGCCGGATAACGCCAGCAAGGTCGTTCTCAGCGACGCCCATCTCTTTGCCGTCCTCAATCGCCCGCCCTGCTCGATGCCTCGCCGCGGATGGTGGTGGCGGTGACAGCCACGCTGCAGGCCACGCCGCAGGCAAGCCACATGCTCCGTCGCTGGCGCAGCTTTCCCATCATGGTTCACCCGCCGCAGACCTGGGATGCCGCAAGCAGCTCGGCTGTCTCGGACCTGGCCGCTGTCCAGCGGAACGCACTCCGCCTCGGCCCGCTGCTCCACGTCCCGCTCACCGGGCTCATCCTCCTTCTCACCGCTGCCCACGCCGAGCTGCGGGCCATGGTCAAGGACCTCCTCGCCGACTTTCACGTTGTCACCCCGGGTGAGGCCAAGGCAAACGAGTCTGTCACCTCGCTCGACGCCGCCAGCCTCGCGCCGGTCCTCGAATACATTCTCGCGCTCCTCGACCCCGTCACCCCGTCGGTCCCGCTCGACTCGAACCTGCCGCGCTCGTTCCGTCCGGCGCTCGCCCACGACGTCCTCTACGACGCGCTTGTTGTCCTCCTCGAAGCCTGCTCCACCGCTGCCATCGGCGTCCTCTCCGTCCTGCTCCCGCGCCTAGTTCCGCGCCTCGCCGAGCTCTTCCAGGCGAACGTACTGCCTCTGGTCAAGGGCGCGACCGGCCACGGTGGCGACGCCGACCGCCGCTCGCGCTCGCGCCTCCTCCGGCTCGTTGTCATTTTCCTCGACCACCTCCGCGCCGCGTTCTGGGAGTCGCAGGACGTGCTCGATCCAACCACCTTTGCCGCGTACCTCGACATTGCTCCATCGCTCGAACTCATCGACGCTCTTCGCCTTGTTGTGCTCTCGCTCGCAGGCGTTGGCCGCGACTCGGTTGTTGCCCAGTGGATTGTGTGGTCGTCGCGGGTCGAGACCTCCAGCTCGGCGCTCTCCGCTCCCTCGCCCATCACATGCTTCCTCGCCCACCTTGTTCGCCTCCTCTTTGACTTTGCCTCGCCTGCTTCGCACCGCCATCGCCGCCATCTCGCCGACGCTGCGGCGTCTACCGCAGTCTTTATTGTATGCACTACATACGACTCGCCACGTCTCGAGCCACTCCGGGGATGGAGCGACATCGACAAGAAGCTCGCCTTTGCTGCCTGGCACGCGGTGGCCGGCACTGAGCCGACCACCATCGTGCCGCTCACTATTTGCCCGCCCGATGCACTCTCGCTCCTCACTGCTGCCCTCCGGTGCGAGCTTGCACATCTTGCCGCGGCCGCCACTGCTCTTGCGGAGCTACCGTGGCGAAGCTGTGAGCTCGCCACCCCGCCGCCCGGTCGTACCGCACACTCCAGCGCTCTCTTTCCTTGGTCGCCAGACTGTCCCGTCCAGCCGCCGTCGCACATGCACGGCAGCATGATCCTCGCTCTTGCGCCACTCGCCGTCATTGCGCTCCCGCCTGACAAGAGCGACCTCGCTCTCGCCGACGCCTTCAACTCGGCTACCCAGTACATGGAGAGCCTCCTCAGTCGCATGCCCGTCAACGATGCCTCGGGCCGATTCGCCGTCCTCACCTCGCCGTCGCTTGCCCGCGCCATGCCCTTCCTCCTCGTCTCGCGCCACGCCGGCATCCGTGCCACCGCGCTCCGCCTCTCTGGCGGCGCTACTGATCCTGCTGCTGCTGCTGCGACACTCCACCGGGCCGCTGCCGACCATCAACTCCGTGACGCGCTCTCTGCTGGCTGGGCTCACCTCGCTACCGTCATCCGCACCCATGCCATCCACTTTTCAGTCTACCGGCATGCCTTTACCACCCTCACATCAGCCCACACAGACGTCAACGACGCCGGCATTGTCGCCGTTTGGCAGCTTGCCGCCTCGGTTCTCGCGTCGGCCGCCATTGACCACGAGCGCCCCAGCTCGATTCATCTCGAGCCACAGGTGCTTGTCTTTTTCCAGTGTCTTCATCCCATCTGCAGGCGCCTCACCTCGATGCCAGCGCCGCCGCCCGCCTTTCTCGTTTCGCTGCCGGTCGTTCTTTGCTCGCTTTTGGCGTGGAAGCCGGTTGTCGAGACCCACATTCGGCTGCGCCCGCTCTGGCGCGCCGTCAAGGACCTCATCCTGGACTGCCTCGTTCAACACAGGCCACCGCTCCCGGAGCGGGTCGTCGCCATCGTCACCGCCGCCGACCCGCGCGCCGCCAAGCGGCTTGCCAACCTTCTGCGCCGCGCCAACTCTACAGCCGACAACGCCGCGCTCGACAACGCACTGCCATCCTTTTCTGCCGTCCGCAGCGTCACCGGCGAGGGCAGCGCCCTTTCGGGCCCCGCCTGCGCTGCCCTGCCCGAGGACCAGGGTATCGGCCTCACCGACCACGACCTCGAGGTGGTCACCCTCCGCGCTGTCCCTCGCGACGCCGCCCTCTCTTCAGCCGAGCGTCACAGTGCCATTGTCGCTCGCGCTGCCATGATCGAGGCTGGCTCGAGCGACGAGTCGACGGCCTCCGACAACGACAACAGGAGTAGCGGGGGCGATGAAGACGATGGCGGTGGTTCCGCCACCTCTGCGCTTGACAACGGCTCCAACGACGTTGCTCCACCTGCTGAAGACGACGGCGGCAATGACAATGACGACGACGATGATGTTCCCATCTCGGCGCTGCCACTTTACCGCCCACCTCGATCCAAAACGACGCCAGCCCCCGCACCGGCTCACGCGCCTCCCGTCGCGACAACACAACCCGAGGCTCGTCCTGCCAAGCGCATCAACGCATGGGACTTGCCCGAGGTCATCGAGGCAGTCAAGGACGTAACTCTGCCCAAACAGCGGAAGGCGACAAAGCAGCTCTCGTTCTCCGAACTGCCGCCGGAACAGGTGCGGGCTTCGACAAGGCCGCGAGCCGGCGGCCGTGGGCAGGCTGTGGCACGGACCTCGCAATTTGTGCCACCGCCACGGTCGTCGACGGCCGGAACGTCGTCATCATCGTCGTCAGGACCGATTGAGATCAAGTCGACTCGGCGGCCGTCGCATGCGTCTGGCGCGCCGACAACCCGGACGCCCGACTTTCTCGGCCAGTTTGATGCCGTTGTCCTCGGATGGAACTTGTTTGTCCTCCCGGGCAACTCGTACTGGCGCGAGCTTCTCAAGTCGGTGCCCAAGAAGTTTAACAGCGTCACTTCGTACGGCAACATCTTTTTTCCCATGGTGCTCGCCGAGACCTGCGCTGCCATCGAGTCTGCCCGCGACGACGGCTTTCCGTCGTCAATTGGAGCCCGCGTCCTTGACCTCAATCCGACGTCACCGTCGTCGGGCACAATGCGCCTTGCCGTCCGCAGCGCGACAGACATCGCCGCCGACACCTTTCGCAACCAGTCGCTTGTTGTGGTTCACACCAAGGCGAGCCTCGCGAAGGACAATCCACACGTCCTCGCCATCACCAGGGGCCAGACCAACGACGGCATGTACACCATCAGCTACAGCCTCAGTCGTAACTCGAACCGGCTCGAGTTTGTCCGCGGCCTGGCTAAGCGCAACGTCTTTGTCACGCGAGTCGTCTCGCTCATCACCGCTCGCCGCGAGTGCACCGCCATTGCCAATCTCTCGTCCATTGGCCTCCGACCCAACATCATCCACCCGAATCCAAAGCCGCAAGACATGCTCGCGCGCTGGATCGACAGCACCGCGCCGAGCCTCGGCGACGCGTTTGCCCTCCCACGCCTGCGTTTCATGCGCTGCGCCCTCAACGACAAGCAGTGCGAGGCGCTCCACGCCGCAACACACCTCCGCGGCATCCACCTTCTCCACGGCCCACCAGGCACCGGCAAGTCTTCCACCATTCTCGGCGGCCTCTCGCTTCTTCTTCGCTCGCGGATCTTCTCCAAGTCGGGTGGCGGAGGCCGGCGCGGCCTGGGTAAGTCGGTCTCGCGCACCTCCCGCCTCGCCAATAGCCATCTCAACATCATGGGTGTTGAGTCGCTGCCAGCCGCGACTGCCTCGCCGGGCTCGACCACTAATGTCATGCTGCAGCCGATGGTTGAGGCTCTCTTTCCGCACGGCTCAACCTCGATGCGCTTCTCGCGCGAGGGCGGGTCGTACCCGCTCCTCGTCTGCGCGCCGTCAAACGGTGCCGTCGACGAGCTCATCACCCGCATCGCTACGCACGGCCTCATCGACTGGTCCGTTCCGCTCGACAACATGGACGAGGTGCTGAACGGCCCCGGCGGCGCCGCCGCCGTCACTGCCGCCGTCCGCGCCGCCACCGTCCGCCCGTGCATCGTCCGCGTCGGCAGCGCCTCGCGCGGAACCAGCAAGACCGCAAACGCGTACTCGCTCGATGCCCTCGTCCGAGCCCACGCAAACCGAGTCAAGTCCACCCACGCCGCCATCACCGCCCGCCTCAACTCACTCCGCGATAAGCTCGTCGCCCTCCAACAAGAATCCGTGGTCGTCACCGCCGCCGCCGCCGCCTCGCGCGGCGCCGGCTCCGCCGCCCGCTTCTCCCGCATCGACACTGAGCGCGAGCGGGTCTCTCACGAGATTGCCGACCTTCAGCGCTCGCTCAACACGCGCGTCAACGCCGTCGAGCAGCGCATTCTCGAGGTTGCCGACGTGGTCCTTTGCACCCTCTCGTCGTCCGCGCTCTCCATCCTCTCCAAGCTCAACTTCCCGTACGTGGTCATCGACGAGGCCGCGCAGGCGGTCGAGCCGTCGACCCTCATCCCGCTCGCCCGCGGTGCCGACACGCTCTGGCTCGTCGGCGACCCGTGCCAGTTGCCAGCCACAGTCCTCTCCAAGGTCGCCGAGCAGGCCAACTACCACGCGCCGCTGTTTACCCGACTCAAGGACGCTGGCGTCTTTGCCATCACGCTGCAGACCCAGTACCGTTTCCACCCGGAGATCCGCCAGTTCCCCTCGCACTTTTTCTACGACTCGCAGCTGATGGAGGGTGTCTCGGTTGCCGCCGCCACCCTCGACCCGCACCCGGTCTACACCGCCGCCAACCTCTCGCCGTACATGGTAGTCAACGTGCCGCACTCGCGCGAGCACAACCGCCGCGGGCGGTCGACAGTCAATCCAGCCGAGGCCGCCGCCGTTGTCGCCCTCGCCGTCGAAATCCACAACCGCCTTTCCCGCTGCCGCATCTCTCTCCGCATCGCTGTCATCACCCCGTACCGCGGCCAGGCACGCGAGCTCGAGCACCACCTCCGCCGTGCCGGCATCGTCGTCCCGGTCTGCACCGTCGACTCGTTCCAGGGCCGCGAGGCAGACATTGTCCTCCTCTCCACCGTCCGCGCCTCCTCCACCTCGGTCGGCTTCCTCGCCGACGTCCGTCGCATGAACGTCGCCCTTACCCGAGCCCGCCTCGTCCACATTGTGGTCTGCAACGTCGCCTCTCTCCGCAACGACCTCGCTTGGAACGAGCTCCTCAACGACGCCGCCTCGCGCGGTCTCGTCTGCAACTCGACCGACCTCGCCGCCGCCCTCTGCAGCTCGCTCCGCTCTGCGCCAGCCGACTCGATGCGGGTCCACACCAGCAGGGCCATCGTCGCCGGGCGCTCGTCTCTCCACGTCCGCCATCCCCATCGCATGACCATGCCGCAACACCCGCCAATGCGGTCGCAGCCGCCACCGCCACCGGCATCATCGTCTGCGTCGGAAGCCTACCGCTCCCATCAGGCCTACCAACAGCCGTACGTTCGCCCGCCGCTCCCGCCCGGCCCGCCGCCCGGCCCGCCGCCCGGCCCGCCGCCCGGCCCGCCGCCCGGCCCGCCGCCACTGCAGCCGCTGCAGCCGCAGCGGCCGCCTGCCCGCCGAGGTCAAGGCCGAGGACGAGGCCGAGGCCGTCCACGCAACCGCGGCAAGCGCCGGCGCGGGCGCGACGATGTGCGGCACGAGCCGAGTAAGCGGTTCAAGCGCCGATAGACTCGGATGTTGCCGCGCGTCCGCTTTCGACAATGTACCACAACAGCGACCGCGTGTACTCTTCCTCCTCGAGCAGGCCTAGGCCCTCATCGGTGGTGGCGAACAACGGGTCCGAGCCCTCGTCCGGCGCCCGGTCCGCAGTGAGCGTGCCGGCCTGCAGCAGCGAGGCCGCGTATGTCAGGAACGGCTTGGTCGCGCCAGCCTCGGCGTATCCGTACAGCGTGTGGAACATAGTCCGTGTGTACTGCGTCTCCATCCACGCCGTCTGCGCCGCCTTGAGTTTCGGCCACTTGCGGAGCGCGCCCGGCGAGCCCCAGTGTCCGCGCAGCGCCGCCGGCGGGTCGCACGGCCGGGTCAACCGGCCCGACCGCACAACTGCGCGCAGCGCCGCCGGCAGCGCCCCGCCGAGCCGGATGAGGACCACCACGGCAAGGCGGGCTGTAAACCAGAGCTCGTCGATGTAAAAGAGGAACGCGCCGAGCAGTGCCGACGAGACACCGTCGTCGTCTCCTTCGCCAAAGTGCCGGGCTCCGCCCGCCGGAATCGGCGCGTTTGCCGCAAGCGCTGACTCGACGACTGCCAAGTGGTCAGCCTCGCGCTCGAGCTCGTGCCGGAGCTTGGCCTGCCGCGACTTTCGAGCCGAGGACGACGCCTCTAGCTCACGCGAGAGTGCGTCGAGCCGGTCCTGGACCGACGTCCGGAGCTCGCTGGCGCGGAGCGGCGAGTCGCCGGTGGGGCCGCCGCCGCCCATCCCTCCCGGCGACGCCCCCAGTCCGGCCCGTCGCGCCGCGTCGTACGCCGCAATCCGGGCCTTGCGCTCCGAAAGCGGCCGGTTGCGAGCCTTGCTCCTTCCGCGGAGCGACCGCCGCGACGGACTCGCGTGGCTGGCAGTGACGCGCTCGCGGGCTGGTCGCGGCCGCGGCTCCGACCGCAGCCGCGGAGTCGCCGCCTGGCGCGCCCGCCGAGGCGTCGACGAAACTCTCGCCCGCGCCCGAGCGGCAGCGCCTGCGCGAGCACGTCGCGGGCGTGGCGATGGCGACGGCAACGGCAACGACGCCGATGACAGCGATTTGCCTGCGGGGCTACCCCTCAGCGAGTCGAGAAGCTCCCGCGGATCGACACCCTCGACAGCCAGCAGCGCATCCAGCTCCTCCAGCGCACTGTCGCGGCACGGGCGTAAAGCCGGGCGCGCCGAGCGGAGAGATCGGGCCGTGCGACGTGACGGTGTTGGCGAGGATTGGAGCCGCTGTGCCACTGCAGCCTCATGGGCGCGAGTGTGGATAGCGGCGCGAGTCCTCGAGCCGTTGAGATGCGAGAGCGAGGGGAGCCAGTTGAGGATGTGGAAACGAAGACCGCGACGCGAGTGCGTCACGGGATTGTCTCTGATGTCGAGATGAGTGAGTGCCGTGTTGAGCGAGAGAGGCCGGAGTGCCGGGAGCGAAGCGATGAGATTGTGGGAGAGATCCAACATGGCCAACGCCGGCAGCGCGTCCAAAGCTGCCACATGAGCAAGATAGTTGTGTGCGTAGTTGAGGGCTGTCAATCCCGATGCCAATGGCAACAGAGGCATCTCCGTCAGCGCATTGTGGGATCCGTCCAGCCATGTCAGCGATGCCAGGCAATCAAGTCCTTGCAGCGATGTGAGCGAGTTGTAGGAGAGGTCCAACGAGGTCAGGCTCGCCGCCACATGGCTCAACTCGGGCAGCTGGGCCAGCTGCCGGTGCGACAGCGAGAGGCTCTGGTTGTGGCCCTGGTCCTGGTCCTGGTCCTCTGCTGGTACTGCCGCCTCTACCACGACCGTGCTCTTGTCATGCGTGCTGCCTCTTGCTCCCGCTTGGTCCATCTTGTCGAAGAGGAGTGGCTAGCAGTGGCGGTGGCAGTGGCGGTGGCAGTGGCGGTAGTGGCAAGCCGGGGGAGGTGGTGGCGGCAAAACAGGGCAGGGCGGCAGCGGTTTACGTCGAGACGGGCGAGTCGGGGCAGTGAGGGGCAACGACGTGGCGCTCGCCGCGCCACATAAACGCCACGGCGTCGGCGGGATCGTCAATGACTTCGCAGTTGAGATCCATGGTGAGCTTGTCGCCGACGAGCCCGGGCACGCCATCCATTGGCGAGGGATGGTACATGCGACCGGCTTCCGAGATCCACAGCGCATCCGGCTGGAACGGAACGTACATGGCCGCGCCGTACACCAGCACGTCCACGCCATCGTCGTCACAATCGGCGGCTTCCAAAGGAGCAGCGTCTCGACCAGCTGCGCAGGCACCATCAGCATCGGTGCCATGCGCTGGTTCGACCGCCGCAGCAGCGCAAGCCCCAGGCGCAGCAGCACTGTCTCCCGGCAAGCGATGGAGAGTATGGAAGACATACGGCGTGATGTCTTCTGTGGTCACAAAGTTGAGCTCCCGTCCACAGGGCGAGACATAGTCGTAGCCATCATCGACATACAAGCCAGTCTTGTTGGCCTTGAGTCTTGTGAAGAGATCATTGAGAAAGGTGACATCCCTGTATGCTGTGGCATAGTTCTTGTGCTTGGCATCGGCGAGGAAGACTCTCCCCGATGAGTCGATCTCATAAAAGTACTGCCGTGTGTACCGCGCCTTGCCCTTGCGTGTCGTCGTCGCCTCGGTCTCCGGCACACGCCCACCCTGGCTCTGCCCCGCCGGCACATGGACTGCAGCCACTGAAACTCCCACTCCCCCTTGCCACATGTATGCACTCCACCTCTGCCCCACGCAAGCCCTCAGCATGACCAAGTCGTGTGCCCAAGCCGTGGTGTTCCCCGTCGGCGTCGGCCACCGCGAGTCACCGACGGCTGCGATCGATCGGTCGGCTGCCGACCGCCGGCCGCTCACTCAACTCTGGCCACCATGTCGGGCATCCGGATGTATGTGTCGCGTGGGCGGATCGGAGCTGCTGTTGCTCTGTGGTCGCGGCAAGCCATGCGTGAGGGGCTGACCCCCGCAGCAGCCCGCAACACTCGCCATGTCAAGAAGTGGCGCAAGCGGCAGGACGACCTCAAGGTACGTAGCGAGTTGACGGCCTTTTGCTGGCGACGGGCTGATCGCCGCCGTGATCGCCGCCAGGATCGCGCCGTCGGGTGTGGGCGGTACCTAGAGCACCCTTCTGGGTGGTATACTCACACTGCTGGTTCGCTGTTTCGTCGGGTTGGTTGTGGGAATGATGTCATGTGGTACACGGAATGGGGGGGTCTTCCGACCGGTGTATATGTGTCGAGAGTAGGAGACTCGCCGGCGTATCCATTTCAAGCCCATCAAGAAGCGTATCGCCGAGATCATGGAGATGAAGCGCCAGTACGTACACCACAGCCACCACCACCTGCACACTCTGCGAGTTGCATGTGTATGGTGTGGGGCATACTTCCTCGCCCCTGCTTCCCCTCCCTCTCCCTCTATCCCTCGTCACCGACCTCACCCTGTCCCTTGCCCGCTCCCCCCCTACCCCCCCGTCGCTCGCTCGGCCACCCACTCACCATCACACCTTCCGCACCACTTTCCACGCCGCCCACGCCACCTACTGCTACCATACCCTCGACAGAGGCATGTGAGGCAATGAAGCACACACGCGCACACCCCCCCCCCCCCCCGCCCTTTTCCCCATTTGCTATCAGCGCACCGCAGCGCATCGCGTTTATCATCCTCAGCGGAGGTAGCCCGGGATCTTCATGCGGATAAACTGGATGGAGAGGAAGAAGGCGAGGACGATGGCAGCCATACCTGCGCCGAGCATAGCCAGGCGCGGGGTGCCCGAGGACGAGCGTGCGATCTCGATGAGGATAAAGCCAGCGGCGCCGAGGCCGTACACCATGCCGGACGTCATGCCCTCGATAATGTACTGGCCATTGATGCGGTACTTGAGAAAGGTGACCGGCCGGACAACACCATTAGCATCCTGCTCGGTACCAAAGGCCGGCGGCCCGATGATGGCGTCGTAGATGACGCCCGAGAGGACAACCACATACGAGATGAAGAGCAGGGCAAAGACCACCGTGGTCGACGGCCGCTCCACTCGCGGGACCTTGAACTTGACCAGCGGGACGTTGAACGCCTTGAGTGGGACTGCAAGCACAGCGTCTACCTTGTCCACCATACGTGCCTTGCGCACCATACTTGCTGACTACCTTGCCAGTCGAGTGTACCCCCCTCCCAAAGGCCCTATCCCTGACCCCCCCCCCCACCAGCCGCAGTCGCCACCTGCCACTTGGGCTGACAAGAATTTCGCCCGACGTCCGAGTGCGCCACAATGCCATCCTACGCAAGCACCGCTCAACAAACAACCTAGAAGGTTGTACATGAGTGAGCGCAAAGGTGTTGCTGGTGTGGCGGGAGGTGCAAGAAGAGAATGCAACGAGATCGGTCTGAAATACAAGCAAATATCTGCACGTCAGAGGCTGCGCAGAAAAGACGATTGATCACAGATCGACGTTTCGCGATTTGATCACAGTTCTCCACAAATCTCCAAGCCTTCTTTTCCTCCTCATCCTCCCCGCTGTCTCTACCACCCTTGCCACCCTGCTTTACCTCTCCAACCCTTCCCGACCCTTCTCGACTCTCTGTTCATTCCCGATCTAGCCAACAACCATCACATCATGACCAGAGCCGGCAGCGCCCCGCCACACGAACTCAACTCGGATCCATCCCAGGTGACGACACCAGCCGTCACCGGACCGCACCACGCCGAACCGCGTCGCACCGCACCGCACCGTACCCCTCCTGCACAACATGGGCATTCGCGGACTATGGACATACCTGCAAGAGAAACAAAGCACCGTGGCTGTAGAGTGGAAGGCCGAGGTGGCGACGGACGCGAGTGATGATGCAAGCCATCGTCCACGACTCCTGGTCGACGGACTTGGCTTCATCTTCCATGTCGTGCAAGGCGCTCTGCGAGAACGTGCCGATGCTGGCGGTCTCAAGTACTTGGCTCTCCTTGGCGTTGATTATGCCATCGTTGGCCCTGCGCTCACACATGCCCTTGATGCTCTTACTCGTCGTGGCTTTGATGTCGAGCTGTACATGGACGGATCTCGGGGCTCGGCCTCGGCGTCATCGCTCAAGGCTGCCGCCGCTGCAGGTGCGGCCGGTGCCACGGGTGCTGATCGCGGCTCGCTGTCGTCAACAAACGGCGTTGTTGCCAAGCGGAACGCATGGATCTCGCGGATGAACGAGGGCATTGCCGACATGGCCGCGGCCATGGCCGCCCTGGCAGGCTACTCCTCGCCCATCGGCCTGCCGTGGACAAAGCCGCCGCTGATGAAGGAGGAGGCGCTCGAAGCGCTGGCGGGCATGGACCACGTCACTATTGTGAGCTGCGACGGCGAGGCCGATCCGATCATGGCCGATGTCATGCGGACGGCCGAGGCCGCCGCGCCCGGCGCCGTCGCTGCCATCCTCGGCTTTGACACTGACTTTGCCGTCATGGCGGGGCCCATTCGCTACCTCCCGCTGCCCTGGCTCAACTTGGCGGCGGCGGTGGCTGATCCCAGCTTGCCTCTCGAGGGCTGGCTCATCGAGCCGATCCGCGTCGCCCGCAGCCTTGGCCTCGGCGACTCGGTCGACGCCCTCATCGAGGTCGCCATCGTCCTTGGCGACGACTTTTCCTCGCACTTTGTCCACCGCTACAACTTGCCGGGCATGCTTGGACTCAAAGACTACCACCGCTCCGAGAAGCGGACATGGGTTGCGCCGGCCGAGGCTTCGGGCTGGCTCATGGCGCTCCCGTCGCCGCAGCTCGAGGCTGCGCCTGTTTTGGTCGACCTCATGCATCGTGACGGCGACGTCTGCCGCGCCATCACCTACGCCCGCTCATTCTACGGCTCGTCGGTCACCTCGTACGTCCAGCCGCAGGCCTCGCCCGAGCAGGATGCTGCCGTCACCACTGTTGCCACCGGTATTTCCGGCGTCCCGCCTGCCGTCCTCGACGCACTCGCCGCCGGCACTGTCCCTTCGTGGGCCCGCACCGTCGCCCTCCGTGGCGAGGCCTGGTGCTCGCTTCCTCTGGAGACGCTGCAGGCCTCGCAGCTCTCCGCCACCGACCTCGTCGCCCCGCTCCGGCTGGTATTTTACGAGATCGTCCTCGGCGGCTGGTGCGGCCTGCCGGCCGTCGCCGAGTTTGTCCGCATCGGTGATAACGTCCGCATGGTTGCGCGCGAGCGCTGGTCGGTCATTGCCTCGCACTTTTCGCAGACCTTCTTTGCTCCGCTCACCGCCGCCGGCATCCCACACGCCGCTCTCGACGGCCCGCTCCTCGCTCTTGTCCGCGCCCCGCGCATCTCGTTTGACCTCTCGGCCGCTTTCTTTGAGTACTTTATTGCCGTCGCCACCTCGCAGGGCACCCGCCAGGTCCCGCCGACCACGGACGAGCCGCAAGTCCTCTCCGGCTACTACTTTACCACTCTCGTTCGCGTCATCGCTGTTCTCGGCTCACGCGTCGGCCTCTCGATGGACGAGCTCGCTCGCATCGCTACTGCCATGGTCGCCGCCCGCTCGTCGTCGTCTCGCGCCGCCAGCTACCTCGCTGCGCTCGAGGCTGAGGAGGGCCTCACGCCCGGCGCTGACCGCCCAGCCCTCCGCGCGGTCTCTATCTTTGCCTGGCTTCAGCTCGTCTACAAGTACGTCAAGGCTCTCGCCCGTCTCATCGGCCTTCCAACGGCATCGTTCCCCCGCCCCTCGTCTGTCCTCTCCACGCTCGCTTTCTACGCCGCACTCGCCGCCGAAGGCTTTGACGCCGCCGAGGCTATGGAATGCCCCGAGCTCCGCGACGTCTTCCAAACCGCACTCACCGGCCTCGCGCAGCCGACGCTCGACTACTACGCCGAGTCCGTCGAGGCCGCCGCCACCGCCGCCGCCGCCGCCGCCTCGGAGGCCGCTGCCCGCGCCGCCGCCGCGCCGCCGTCGGTAGACGAGCTCGCCCAGCTCAAGGCCATGGGCGAGGGCCTTCCGGTCTCGGCACATCGCGACCACATTGTCCAGCTCATCGACTCCCAGCAGATCGTGTGCATCGAGGGCGAGACCGGGTGCGGCAAGTCGACCATGGTCCCGCAGTTTATCCTCGACGCCCACCCGGAAGCCCGTATCATCGTCACCCAGCCGCGCCGCCTCGCCGCCGTCTCGCTCGCCCGTCACGTCGCCAACATGCGCGGCTCGCGCCTCGGCGCAGAAGTCGGCTACCGCATCGGTGGCGAGCACGCCGCCGCCCGCGGCCGTACTGCGCTCACCTTTGTCACCACCGGCTACCTCCTCGCCCTCCTTGTCCACCACCCGGACGCGCTGGCAGACTACACCCACGTCGTCCTCGACGAGGTCCACGAGCGTGACCTGGACATGGACCTCCTCACGCTTGTCCTCAAGCTCCACCTCCGCCAGTACGGTGTCAAGCTCATCCTCATGTCCGCCACCATGGACGTCAAGGTCTTTGTCGACTACTTTATGCGTCCCATCGAGACAACCAACGCCGAGACCGGCGCCACCGAGCGCGTCGTGGTGGCAGACGCTCGCCCGCCCAAGGTCTTTGTCGGCGTCCACCGCTTCCCCTCGCGCGTTGTCTACCTAGACACCATTTGCGATCTCGCCGACGTCGAGCGTGCCATCGTCGTCCACGAGGATGGCGACGGCGACGCGGTCGCTCCGGCCTCCGCGCCCGACTTTGATCCACACGACGCGTTCTTCGAGGTCGAGGTCGATGAAGCTACCCGTGCCTCGCTCTTCCAGGGCCTGAAGACCTTCTGCAAGTCGTTTGGCGCGACGCTGCCCGACAAGGCTGCCTTTGCCACTCTCGCCCAGCCTGGCCCGGCCGCCGCTCCAGCGTACGTCTCCCACGCTCGCGTCCCGCCGCTCCTCGCCAAGCCCGAGGTCCTTGTCCCGCTCCTCCGCGCGGGCGTCGGCGTCGTCGAGGCGCTCGCCGAGCCCGGCGCCGCCGTTCTCATCTTTCTGCCCGGCCTCGGCGCTATCACCGAGCTGTACGACATGTTTGAGCAGAACGCCAACGTCTACTCGGCGCTCACCCACTCGGGCACCGTCGGACGCGAGTCCAAGCCGCTTCTTAACCTCGTCGTCCTTCACTCCTCCATCCCGCGCGCCGAGCAGGAGGCCGCCTTCAACGCCCCGCCGCTCGACGCCACCAACGTCGTCCTCGCCACCAACATCGCCGAGTCATCCATCACCGTCCCGGGCCTCACCGCCGTCCTCGACTACGGCCTCGAAAAGGTGGTCCAGTACGATCCCAAGTCCAACATGACCTGCCTCCTCCGCTCATGGGCTGCAAAGTCGTCGGCCAAGCAACGCTCCGGCCGCGCTGGCCGCCTCTCGCCCGGCACTGTTGTCCGCATGTACCCCAAGTTCTTCTTTGAAGACTACATGCCCGAGTACGGCAAGCCCGACATCGAGCGCATGCCGCTCGAGCGCTTAGTCCTCCGCATCCGCCAGCTCGGCCTCGGCTCTGTCAAGGACGTCCTCGCCAAGATCATCACCCCGCCCGCAGAGTCACGTGTCGTCCGCGCCCTGGAGGAGCTCGATGCCTGGGGCGCCATGCGCTCGCGCGCCGAAGACGCCGAGATCACCATCCTCGGCCACATGGCCATGGCCCTCCCGGTCGACCTGAAGTACGCCCGCCTCGTCTTTCTCGGCGTCACCTTTGGCCTCCCGGTCGACGGCATCATCATGGCTGCCGCACTCACCATCCAGGACGTCTTCTCGCTCCCCTCGCCGTTCTTCCTCAAGTCGCTCGCCGAGTTCCGCGCACGCATGCACGAATCGCTCCTCGACCGCGCAAAGTACGATGCCGGCGCCTACTCGGAGCCCATCGCTGTCCTTCGCCTCTTCCGCTCCTGGCTCGCCAAGCGCGCCAAGGCCCGCCCCGGCACCGAGCGCTCCGCACTCGCCCGCTTTTGCCGCGCACGTGCCGTCTCGTGGAAGCGCATCTCGCAGCTGGAGAACCTCGTCAAGGAGATCGCCACAAAGGTTATGACCTTCCTTCCCGCCCAGGGCTCTGTCCGCGCCGCCGTCTACTCGCTCTCCAAGCTCCGCGTCCACAACTCAGCCGCCGGCCGCGTCGCCCCGGACCCGCGTCTCAAGGCCCTCCTCGCCGCCGCGTTCCCGCTCAACTACCTCCGCGGCTCAAAGACGCCCAAAAACGTCAAGATCGCACCGGCTGTCCTCGCCCGCGGCCTCCCGCCAGAGCGCACCGTCATCTGGAACTCGCTGCCCGAGGCCTCCGAGTCGTACCTCAAATCGGCGCTCGTCGCCGAAGGCGATGGACCTCCGCTCGACTTTACCCTCCACCGCGGCTCGGGCTGGTACGCCATGGTCTTCCCGGAGCCTCCGGCTCCGCTGACGCCACCCGCCGATCAACTGGATGCCCGGCCCAAGCTCGCGCTCGAGGTGCAGCTCATGCTGCAGCTCGCCAATGGCCGCGGGCGGATGAAGCTCCCGTCCAAGGCCTCCGTCGTTGGCATGGTCCTCGGCAAGGCCAAGACCGTCGACGTCCAGCCGCCGATGTCGCCTTGGCAGCTCACATGGGCCCCCATGGGCGGCTTCTCCGACGCCGGCAAAGTCTACCCGTACTTCCGCTCGCCGCTCGCCGGCTACGCCCTTGTCGACACCTCGACCAAGACCGCCCGCGCCGTCGCCGCCACCATCCAGGGCACCAACTCGGCCGACATCTTCCGCGCCACCGGCTGCACCCTCCTTGAGCCACTCCCCCTCTACGACGGCATCCTCCTCACCACTATTTCCCGTGGCTGGGAGCTACAGGCCGTGGTTGGCGGCCTGGCGAGCGACACCATTGTCGGCGTGGTCTACTGGCTCGACTCGACCACCGCCGGCTCAGGCAAGGTCTGCAAGGTCGCTTTTGCCAAGCCGCTCGGCCTCGCGGCTCTCTCAGCTATCAACACCCTCCGCGCCATGCTCTCATCAGCCTTTGACTCGTCCGGCGGCATCGTCGACCTCCCCAAGCCGGCCGAGCTCACTGCCGCGCTCGAAGCTCTCGAGCTCCCGGCCAACGCGCCGCTTGACGTCGTCCTCGACCAGTCGCTTGTCGAGCTCCAGTCGAACGTTGCTGCCGACCTCACTGTCGCCAACGCCCCGCGTGCTGCCACAGACGGGCCGATCCTCGCCCAGTTTGCGAGCCTCAGCTCAACGCTCCAACCCGCATGCGCCGCTGATGGCGGCAATGCGTCGGACGGCGACCCAGCCCGCGTCGCCTGGCTCGTCGACCGGGTTGAAGAGACGCTCAAGCGCATGGGCAAACCGCTCGACTCTGCCACGCCCGCAAGCATCACAAAGACCATGCTCGAGGTCATCAAGTCGCGCCTCGTCCTCAACGACCACAAAATCGCCGGCGTCCTCCGCCCAGCCCTCTGTGATCGCCTCCAGCGCGCCGGCTCGGCCTCGATGGCCGACTTTCTCACCGTCCACGCCAAGACCATTAACGATCGCATGGACGCGTACTTTGCCGCGCTTGCCGACCAAAAGGCCGCCATGACCGCCGCCCGCGCCCTCGCCGCCACGCCGTCTTTGGCTCGGGTGCCGAAAACGGCGACAGCGACGCCGATCGTGCTCGTGCCCAGCACCTCCTCGCCGCTATGGCTGCCGACATCTACGACGACTACTACTCGGACGATGACGATGTGTATGGGCGTGGCAACTAAAGCATTAATCACACCACCTGCACACTACGCAACTGGCCCTGCGTACGTACACCTCACTCTCGCATGCCTACACCCAGCACTCATCCATGGGCATCACCACAAGCACTCTCACTCCGCCGCCCCCTCAGCCCCCGCCCCCACCAACAGGTGCATCTGCAAAACAAAGCCCACCAAAGCGCGCAATTTGTGTGACGGCCCTGAGGGAGCGGCTGCAGCCGGGGCCGGCGGTCTGGCTCTTGGTCGCTCGCGGGTGCTTTGCCGGCTCAGAGGAAGTGAGAAGGAGATTGATGCCGTACAACGCGGTGCTCACCCGGGAGGACATACGCTCATGCTGTGGTGTTGGACCAGTGGCGATCGACATCGGCGGTGAAGAGTCGTGCGATCGCAGTTGCTCTGACGATGATGTTAGCGTGGTGGCCGTCAACTGCAACGTGCTTGTCGGCAACGTCATCTTCGGCTGCGGCGAGGCTCTTCCATTTGCTGACAACTCCATCGACATTGTCCGGCTCGCCAACGCCCCGCTCAATGATAGCGTTGTGGCCGACATTGTGCGCGTGCTTGATGCGAGGCGCGGTCGCGCCGAGGTCGATCTGCCGCCAGGCAGAGCAAGCTGCGAGCGCATCGCTGCGCTTGCTGCCGCTATGAGTGAGATGTGTGAGGCTGGGCTTGGGTTTGTTGCAGAACGCGAGGGCAAGGCGACGCTCTCGTGCAGTGGCGACAGCTAGAACGAGCCAACCAGTTCCTTACCGGTACCGTGGACAAAGAGAACGCGGTTGAGGTTGGACGAGAGTACCTCGATGTAGCTCATGTACGTGATGACGTCCTTCGTGTGGCGCTGGGTGAGGAGCTCGTCGTTGAGGTACACGTCGGGCAGGTTGATGAGGACAAGCGAGGCCTGCCGCGACTGGGCGAGGATAGCCTTGTTGAGCTTGCTCCAGTCGCCATGGGCGTCGCGGAGCGCTTCGATCGACTCGAGCTGGATGGTCTCCCCCATGTTGGCCATCGACTTCATCGACATGAGCTGCCGCGAGAGGAGGTCGATCGACTGCGCGGTGTCGCCCTTGGTCGACGTTGTCGAGAGCACGGACGACGACCGGTGGATGCGCGGGAGCGCCGCCGGCGCCGGTGCGGGCACAGCAGCCGCACCGCCGCGGCGGCGCGGCCCGCCGTGGGAGCGGGAGCGCGAGCGCGAGCGCGAGCGAGAGCGCGAGCGCGAGCGGGAGCGCGAGCGAGTCCGCTTGCGCAGGCTGCCTGCTGTGTCACTCGCCCTGCGCGCGCCAGTCTTGCGCGAGCCACGCGAGACGGGCTTGCGCGAGCGGGGCTTGCGCGAGCCACGGCGGCGCGAGCCATGGTCGAGGTCAAGGTCGTCGTCGGTCGGGAGCGGGCCGAGGGTGTCGCCGAGCGCCGACGACGGCGCCGACGCCGAGAGCGACGGCGAGTCGGAGCGGCGGTGCGAGTGGCGGAGGCCCGACGGGCGGTGCGGGGCGTGCGGGTTGTGGACGGCTGCCGGGGCCGGGGCTTGGGCCTCCGGCTCGTCCGAGCTCAGCAGCGACGAGTCGTAGGAGCAGAAAGATGACGAGTCGTCGTTGGCCTCCTGCTCCTCGTCGTACTCGCCGTACTCGTACTCGTACTCGCCGTACTCGTAGTCGTCGGGCTCAAAGGTGTACGGCGTACCCTCGAGCTGCCACTGGATGGCGCCCGAGCCATACGACGCACCCGGCTCGGCGCGCGTCGCCGCCAGTTGCGCGTTCTGCGCCCGTGCAAACTTGGGCAGCCGCAGCGCCTCGAGGTCGACGGTCGATGGGATGGAGCGCAGGCCGCGGTGCGCGGTGGCGGTCTCTGCAATGGAGAGCACCTCGGACGGGAGCGCCTCGACCGTCACGTTGAGGTCGCGCATAAAGTTTTCATGCACCTTGGCCCGCGACATCCAGTCGACCGAGTACGGGTGGATCGAGTCGTTGGGGAGGACGACGACGGCGACGGTGGCGTCGATGTGGAGCGACTCGACCTTCTTGACCAGGTCGGCGTGGATGGCTTCAGAGTCGTCGCCCTCTTCCACCACCGTAAAGATGCGGAGAGCGCAACCAGCCCAGATTTCGTGCTTGCGGAGGAGGTACGAGAGGAGGATGAGAAGGCCTCCGTCGTGGAGAATCCACCACACGTCGATGGTCCCGGTCTCGAGCGCCACGTTGGACGAGGTCGACGACGACGACGGAAAGTCCTTGGTCGGGTTCCGGAGAATGAGCGCAGCTTTGTCCGAGGTCGAGACCGAGATGAGCGAGTCGACAAACTGGACCGCCGACGAGATGAGCGCCTCCTCGCGCCAGCCTTCCGGGTACTCCATCAGCACCGTGTTTGGCTGGAGGCCACCGAGGCCCGAGGTCTGGATTACGTAGTCGCGCGACTGGAGGAAGGCAGGGCCGACCACAACTTGCGGGAAGCCACGGAGCTGGTGCGAGTCCATCTGGTCCTGGATGTACTTGGCAAGGAACGACGACGCGCCCTGGTTCTCGGCGTAGAGGCCCTCCATGAGCGCGGTCACGATGCAGAGCCCGTTGCCCTTGCGCAGCTGCGCCGCCACCGAGAGGACGCCGTCGAGCGACGAGTTGAACGAGGACTCGAGCTCGAGCGCAGTGTGAAAGTCGAGCTCGTGCGAGGCTGGCGTGTGCGGCGCAGAGAGGATGGTCGCCGGCGTGTTGTGCCCGGCTCCCGACGCGTTCTGCTGCAGCGCCTGCAGCTGCAGCGGCGTCACCTCGATGAGCGCCACAAGCTGCGGCCGCCAGTTGCGCGAGTAGTGCGCGCCCAGCTCCTGTGAGAGGAGCGACCGGAGCGCGAGCTGGTAGACCAGGCCGCGGAGACCGTCGCCCCACGACGACTCGACGCCCTTCCAGTTGATGTACAGGTAGAGCGCAATCCAGATGGCAAAAACAACCACGGCCCAGTACCACGCCATAAGGAACATGAGCATGACGCAAAGGATGCAGCCGGCGAGCGCCGTGCCCCAGTGAAAGTACCGCCACCGCGGGCGCCACCCTGGCGCGTGCAGGAGCTCGAGCACAAAGCACGAGAGGTTGAGCGCCGAGTAGCAGAGGAGGAAGCAGAGCGAGAGAATCGGGGCAATGACCTCCAGGTCGCCCACCATCGACGCTGCCATGGCGAGGCCGGTCGTGAGCGCCAGCGCACGCACAGCCTGGCCCGACGGCGAGAGCTTGGCAAATGGCGCGAGGAATGGAATGATCCGGTCGTGCGCAATGGCCTGCAGCACCTTGGGCGCCACAATCATGATCTGCAGCGACTGCGCCATCGACGAGAGCATGATGAGCGGTGGCGCGAGCCAGCCAACCGGAAACAGCACGTCGCCAATGATAAACTTGGCCGTCTGGAGGTACTCGTTGTGGACAGCAGAGCCCCAGAGAATCATGATGAGCGAGTAGATGCAGAGCGAGGTGGTAATGGCTCCGAGCGTGCCCCATGGAATAGCTGTCTTGGGCGAGGCAAGCACCTCGGCCCGGTTGGCGCCCGAGAGAATGCCGGTGAACGAGGGGAAGAAGAGCGCGAGCATCGCCGTGTAGCTCGAAATGCCCGGAACCGCCGGCCCGAGGTTGCGCGAAAGCGTCTCGCCGGACATGCCGGTAATCTCCACATGCGGTGCAGTCGGATCGGTGCTCGAGTTGTCCGAGGTGAGCAGACCGAGGACAAGCAACGCCATCGAGGCAACCACAATCGAGAGAAAGACCACCCCCAGTCGCGCCACTACCTTGGTCCCGCCGTACACCATGGCCGAGATGAGGAGGAAGAAGGCCACGGCAAAGAGCTGGACAGAGCCGGGAAAGTGAAGCTCATCGTGAAAAGTCTCGATGAGGACTTCGACAGTGCCGAGCACTTCGAGTACCGCCAGAAACATAAGGCCCAGAAAGTACATAACACCGACAGCACCACCAAGTTCAGCACCGAGAGCTCTTGAGATGAGGCGATATGCACCGCCGCGACCAAAGGTACCACGCTCATTAGAGACGATCGCCGAGAGCGAGAGAGTGGTGAAGAGGACAGCAGTGTAGGCGAGAGCCACCACACCGAGGAGGGAGACCAGAACACCCTCCTTACCCACAATGAGGGAGAAGCGAAGAAAGATGAGCACTCCCCACATGTTCTCACACACAGGCATGTACACTCCTGTAAACATAGGCAGTGACTTGGTCTGCATCACTTCTTGCCCATTCCCACCGTCTCCACCATGATCACCACCCTGATCACCACCCTTGCCACCACCACCACCACCACCACCACCACCGCCACCACCGCTACCACCGCCACCACTGCTGGTCACAACATGCGCCACAGCGCCACTCTCCTGTGCCACTTCCGTAGACATGCAAAAGACTTGGAGTGCAAAAGTTAGTGAGGTGTGGCTGTGGCTGGGTGGCTGGGTGTGGCTGGGTCGGCCTGCCGCTTCCCCATTGCCGCTGCTGGGCCTTTGTGCCCACAGCCTGCAGGCAATGTCACGTGTGCTGCTGCGATGATGGAGGTTGGCCGGGAGGGAGAGCTGCTAGGGCAATGGCGTTGTGTTTGTCATGGTGGGCAAGGAATAGATGGTGGCTATGGTGGCGGTGGTCGTCGAAGAGTGTCTGTGGCCTGATTGCAGCGTTACCTCCTTGGCGCGTGCGATGCGTGCATAGGCCGAGGTGCGAGGAAAGCAGGAGCAGGGATATAGAGCCATGAGCTGAGATCGGCATGCCAAAAGTGGGGAGGTAGTATCGAGAAAAGCAATCAGAGGCGAAAGGCCGGCTCATCATGACTTTAACAAGCTGCATTTCCCCGATCTCGTACATGCAGAGCCATGACAACTGTCGTGAGCAACTGGCGTGCCATCGCCTGCCGCGCTCGCCACCCGCAAATTGCCATGTCATGGTCGTCATCATCCGACGGCCACCAGACGTTGCCTGCCAACCAGGGCCCTACCATGACCGACATTGTTGGCACTCCACTTAGGGACAACCAAACTTCCGGAGGAGACCAAGTACGTGGTATGGAGGGGGGAGGAGGGGCAATCCATGCATGTGGTTTTGTGTGGTGGTGGTGGGGAGGCGGCGGCGGGGAGGGATGAGGTAGATTCTCTGGTGACGGACGGTGGAATGGCGAACCACAAGCAACGGACGGATGGCAGATCGGGCAGCTTGATTTGATGGGAGATGGAGATGGGAGGGGCTGCGGTGTTGACTGACGGACTGACGGAACGTTCGTGGTCGAGTGGCGTGCAGAACATGGCGGCGATGAACATGGACAAGATCGACATCGAGTCTGACGAGTGGGTCGACGGCTTCTCGGCGCATGAGCTGTTTGTCAAGAACCGCGGGACCGGGTACACGTATGAGGACATTATTCTGATGCCGGGACACATCGGGTTTGGCGTGGAGGAGGTCTCGATCGAGGCACAGCTCTCGCGGAACATCACGCTCTCGGCGCCGCTGGTCTCGTCGCCGATGGATACGGTGACCGAAGCGCGGATGGCGATCGGGATGGCGCTGCAGGGCGGCATCGGCATTCTGCACTCGAACAACTCGGTGGAGGAGCAGGTGGCGATGGTCAAGGCTGTCAAGCGGTTTAAGAACGGGTTCATCACCGATCCGGTCTGCCTCAAGCCGGACGCCACCATCCGTGACGTGCTGGAGATCAAGGCCGCGCGCGGCTTTACCGGCATCCCGATCACCGACACCGGGGCGATGGGCGGCGTGGTGGTGGGCATCGTGACCAACCGCGACATTGACTTTGTGGAGGACGTGGAGACGCCGCTGTCTGAGGTCATGACGACGGATCTTGTGACTGCGCCCGAGGGCGTGGCGCTGGCCGAGGCGAACGCGCTGCTCAAGGCCAAGAAGATCGGCAAGCTGCCAATTGTGGACAGCGACGGCCACCTTGTGGGTCTTGTCTCGCGGCATGACCTCAAGACGTGGCGCGACTACCCGAACGCGTCCGTCGACCACGAGACCAAGTCGCTGCTGGTGGGCGCGGCGATCGGGACTCGGCCGGCAGACCGTGACCGGGCGGCGGCGCTGATTGCGGCGGGCGTGGACGTCATTGTCATCGACTCGTCGAACGGGTCGTCGATTTACCAGCTCGAGATGATTGCACACCTCAAGGAGAGTTTCCCGACCGTGGACGTCATCGGCGGCAACATTGTTACTGTGCCGCAGGCCAAGGCGCTGATTGAGGCCGGCGTCGACGGCCTCCGCATCGGCATGGGGGTCGGCTCCATCTGCACCACCCAGGAGGTCATGGCTGTGGGGCGGGCCCAGGCGACGGCTGTGTACAAGGTTGCCAAGTACGCGGCTCAGTTTGGCATTCCGGTCATTGCCGACGGCGGCATCCGGTCGGTCGGGCACATCACAAAGGCGCTCTCCATGGGCGCATCGACTGTCATGATGGGCTCGATGCTTGCCGGCACCGAGGAGGCGCCGGGCGAGTACTTTTACCACGACGGCGTCCGGGTCAAGAAGTACCGCGGCATGGGATCCATCGAGGCCATGACCAAGGGCTCGGACAACCGCTACTTTTCCGAGGCCGACTCGATCAAGGTCGCGCAGGGCGTCGTCGGTTCGGTCCAGGACAAGGGCTCCATCTCGCTCTACGTCCCTTACCTCCGCAAGGGCATTCTCCACGGCCTGCAGGACATCGGCGTCCGCTCCATCACCGAGCTCCGCGACGCGCTCTGGTCCGGCAAGCTCCGGCTTGAGATCGGCTTGAGATCCGCTCGCCGGCTGCGCAGCAGGAGGGTGGCATCCACTCGCTTGTGAGCTTCTAAGTATCGCCTTTACCCTTTACGGTACGGAATGGACAAATCTGTCCATCGCGCAAGCCGCGCTCCGCCGCGCTCCGCGACGCTCAACGTCCATGGATTGTTGTAAAAGAGTAGTACAGTGTGTTATTGGCTGCCACAACAGAACACAGTCGGTGATGCAGAGATGGACGCCACACGCGGCGCAAAAGGTCCGCAGCCGTGATCGACTACAATGAAGCTTCCGGCAGTCGAGGCAATCGCGTCGCATGGCGGCTTTCTTGGGGAAGTGGTGGTGACGAGCAGCCGCTGCAGAGGGACGCTTCCGCTTGCGCGATGGCGCGGAGCTGACGGCGTTGGTGCTGGGGGAGAGGGCGTCGATGACGCCGTAGACAAAAGCCACGCGAGTCATGGCGGGTCGTGGGCCCATAGTAAGCAGAGCAGCTCGTAGTCACCGCCGCCCATCCACTTTGATGATGACATGTCACATGCATCGATCCCAAAGGCACTGCCTACCTGTCAGCATGAACGCGTCGTCGCGTGACCGAGGGTGAGCGGGCCGAGCCGTCATCAACACGTTCTTTGGTTGAGGGGATGGCTTTGGTTGAGCGAGTGCAGTCACACGTGACTTGCGCTGTAAGGAGGCAAGACTACCAACATGGCTGGTGTACGGAGCAGAAAGACGGCGGGAAGAACGGGATGAAGACAACCGGCATTGTTGTCTGACCATGTGTAGCCAGTCTTGGCTTGTCTCAGAGTCCTCCTTCATGACTTTGGTGGGCGGGTGTGACCACTCGAGGTAGTGGGCGGACGGACGATTTTTGACCGACCGAGACGGGAGAAGGGACGGCGACGGGGAGGGGTGGTGTACTCATAGGTGTGTGTGCGTGTGTGTGTGTGGTTGGTTGGATGGATGGACTGTGGGGTGTGCGGGGATGGGGGTGATGGCTATGCACGAGGATAGGCTCTTCAGAATGCGCGTGCGCTGATCAAGTCCATGGAGGATGAGAAGGAGTCCGAGTACGGTATCATTCGGTCGGTGTCCGGCCCGGTGGTGGTGGCTGAGGAAATGCACGGGGCGGCCATGTACGAGCTCGTTCGTGTTGGTCACGACAATCTGGTGGGAGAGATCATTCGGCTGGAGGGCGATACGGCGACGATTCAGGTGTACGAGGAGACGTCGGGCCTCACGGTCGGCGATCCGATCCTCAAGACTGGCAAGCCGCTCTCGGTCGAGCTCGGCCCGGGTATCATGGACAACATCTTTGACGGCATCCAGCGCCCGCTGGAGACGATTGCAGAGATGACGCAGTCGATCTACATTCCGCGCGGCGTCAACGTGCCCGGGCTCGACCGGCAGCGGCAGTGGGAGTTTTCGCTTGGCGACGGCATCGCTGTCGGCTCGCACCTCACCGGCGGCGACATCTACGGCTCGGTCTTTGAGTCGTCGCTCGTCAACCACAAGATCATGCTCCCGCCGCGGGCAATGGGCACGGTGACGTACGTCGCCGAGCCGGGCTCGTACTCGCTCGAGGACGTGGTGCTCGAGCTCGAGTTTGAGGGCGAGACCAAGCAGTTTACCATGATGCACACGTGGCCGGTGCGTAACCCTCGCCCGGTGGCCGAAAAGCTCTCGGGCAACTCGCCGCTGCTGACCGGGCAGCGGGTGCTCGACGGCCTGTTCCCGGTCGTCCAGGGCGGGACCTGTGCCATTCCTGGCGCTTTCGGCTGCGGCAAGACCGTTATTTCGCAGGCGCTGTCCAAGTTTTCCAACTCGGACGTCATCATCTACGTCGGCTGGTAAGTGTGTGTGTGTGTGTGATGCGTGTGTGTGTGTGTGTGTGTGTGTGTCTGTTTGTGTGATGACAAGGGGGATGTGTTCCGAGTGTGACTGACCACAAGCATGGCGGTGTGACGGGCGTTCGGCGGGGCGGTGATGCAGCGGCGAGCGCGGCAACGAGATGGCCGAGGTGCTCAAGGACTTCCCGGAGCTCAAGGCCAACTTTGCCGGAGTGGAGGAGTCGATCATGAAGCGGACTACGCTTGTGGCGAACACGTCGAACATGCCAGTGGCAGCGCGTGAGGCATCGATCTACACCGGCATCACGCTCTCAGAGTACTTCCGCGACCAGGGATACAACGTGTCGATGATGGCCGACTCGACGTCGCGTTGGGCCGAGGCGCTGCGTGAGATTTCGGGCCGGCTGGCGGAGATGCCAGCCGACTCGGGGTACCCCGCCTACCTTGGGGCGCGGCTCGCGTCGTTCTACGAGCGCGGCGGGCGTGTCAACTGTCTGGGCTCGCCGTCGCGGACGGGCTCTGTCTCGATTGTCGGCGCCGTCTCGCCGCCTGGCGGAGATTTCTCCGATCCGGTCACGTCGGCGACCCTTGCCATTGTGCAGTGCTTCTGGGGCCTCGACAAGTCGCTTGCGCAGCGTAAGCACTTTCCCTCGGTCAACTGGACCAAGTCGTACTCCAACTACAAGGACGCGCTCGAGCCATGGTATGAGGCCAACTACCCCGACTTTGTTGCGCTCCGCGCCAAGGTCGGCAAGATCCTGCAGCAGCAGGAGAAGCTCGCCCAGTACGTGCAGCTTGTCGGGCCCGACGCGCTTGGCGAGCCGGAGAAGATTGTGCTCGAGGTTGCTCAGCTCATCATCGACGACTACCTGCAGCAGAACGGTTTCTCGACGTACGACCAGTTCTGCCCGTTCTACAAGACCGTGTGGATGATGCGCAACATCGTGACCTTCCACGATCTCGCGCAGAACGCCGTTGAGGCTTCGCGCGACTCGTCGTCCAAGGTTACTCTCTCGGCCATCAAGGCCGCCATGGGCGACACCATCATCTACGAGCTCACCCAGATGAAGTTTGAGGAGCCGTCCGACGGCGAGGAGGTCGTCGTCGCCCGCCTCCAGGCGCTCAACGAGGCCATCCAGGCCGCTTTCCGCGATCTTCTGTACTAAATCCAGTGCGCGCTGCATGCTGTGTATGTCCGCTTCTCACTCCCCTTGCATTTGTTCATCGCCGGCCCTTGGCCCGGCCACGCCCGCGGCCGCCGGACCGGCCGCCAGCACGACCCTTGCCGCGGCCCTTGCCACCACCCTTGCCGCCGCCACGGAGCGCAGCCTTGGCCTCAGACTGGCCCTTTTTCTCGAGGGCGTCCAGCTCGGCTTCAGTAAACTCGATGACGGCCGCCTTGGACTTTTTCTCGCCCTTGTCCGACGCCGATGAGAGCGACGACCACGAGCCGACCGGCTCGGGCGCTGGCGCAGCAGGTGCGCGCTTCTTGGCCTTTTTGAGATCCTTCAGCTGCGACGCAGCCTCCTCGGCTGCGCGCGCTTCCAGAGCGTCCACATCCAGATCATCACCGTACGTAGTCTTGACCTTGCCTTTCTACAAATCCCAACCATCCATCAAGGAGTGAGTATGACCCGCATGCCGAGCCAGCCTCCAGCCACACTCCAGCCACGCTCCAGGCGGGAGGCGAGCCATGCCCGCCACCATCAACTCAATTCCAGGCCCAGCCACATCCTGCACCCGATGACCATACCCTCACCTCCCCTACGTCCTTGCTCCCACCACAGCCAAACAGCTTGCCCAATGACGACGCCGTTCTCGTCATACCCGCCGACGACGAACCGCCCATGAACCAGGAGCGGGCGACGAGGGCAGTTGGCTGTGGCAGAGGGGGGAGGGGGGTGCAGAAGTCGAGACGAGCAAGTGGGAGGTGTGGGAGAGTGGGGCAGGGTAGGCGACCTGCATATGGTGTGTAGGTGGCATGTAGTGGTATGCCCATGGCGGTGGTGGTGGTGGTGGGAACGGAGGTGTCCATCATGTCAGCATCATCGACTGGCGCATAACGTTCGTTGACGAGCGAACACTCAATTTGCGCGGCAGGAGGGAGGGGAGGGAAGGGGACGGAAAGAGTCTCGATAGAGAGCGTGGCTTGGCGGATGGAGACGGCGATTGCAGCATGGTAAAGTACATGTAGTAAGCTACTCAGAGGTGGGGGAAGGGTGTGACATACATACCTTGATTTCAGGAAGTTTGACGTCTAGTTTTTCTAGCTTTCGCTTGGGCTTATTCTTCGTTGACCGCTCTCCGGCAGACTTTGACCCGCCGCACCCCATTCTGAGTGCTGGTCGAGAGACAAGTGGTCGACGTCGAGAGCAGGGGGGCGATCTTGGTGTGGCGGGAGCAGGCTCGAAGGGTTTTACAGGTCGAAGAGAAGCGAGGTCGGGTCCTCGATGCCCTGCTTGACAGTGCGGAGGAAGGTGGCAGCCTCACGGCCGTCGACGAGGCGATGGTCGTAGGTGAGGGCGGCAATCATGATGGAGCGCTTGACAAACTCGCCGTCGACCTCGCGGAGGCGCGGGAAGACGCCGTGCATGCCGAGGACGGCCGACTGGCCGGACTGGAGGATGGGGGTGCCGAGCAAGCTGCCGTAGACACCACCGTTGGAGATGGTAAAGGTGCCGCCGGCCATGTCGTCGAGCGAGATCTGGTTCTCGCGGGCCTTGGCGGCGAGGCGGGCGAGCTCGTGCTCGGCGTCGGCAAACGAGAGCGACTCGGCGTTGCGGACGACGGGGACGACAAGGCCGTTGGGAGTGGCGACGGCGACCGAGATGTCGACGTAGTCACGGTAGACGACGTCGGTCTCGTCGATGACCGCGTTGATGGCCGGCACCTCCTGCAGCGCCTTGGCCGACGCCTTGATGAATGGCGACATGAAGCCGAGCTTGACGCCGTGCTTGGCCACAAACGCCTCCTGGTGCTTCTTGCGCAGCGCCATAAGCTCGGTCATGTCGATCTCCTGGAACGTGGTCAGCAGCGCCGCCGTGTTCTGCGACTCCTTGAGCCGCGCCGCAATGGTCTGCCGCATCCGCGTCATCTTGACTCGGGTCTCGGTCCGCGCCCCAGTCATGGTCTTGGCTGCAGGCTTGGCCGCCGCAGGCTTGGCCGCCGCAGGCTTGGCCGCAGCCTTGGTCTCCTTGGCTGCCGCAGGCTTCTCTTCCTTGGCCGGCGCAGCCTCCTCCTTGGCCTCCTCCTTGGCCTCGGCTGCGGGCTCCTCGGCCGAGTCGGCCTTGGCCTCAGGCGCAGACGCCGCGGTGTCGAGCTTGTACAGCGGAGTGCCGACCTCGGCCTCCTCGTCCTCGTCAACCAGGATCTCAGTGATGACACCCGCCTGCGGCGCGGTGATAGGCACAGCGATCTTGTCGGTGTTGATCATGCACACCACCTCGTCGGCCTCGACATAGTCGCCGACACCCTTCTCCCAGTCGGCCACGGTGCCCGACGAGATGGAGTCGCCCATTTCGGGTGTGTCCACCGTCATCACAGCCTCGGACGCATACCCACGAGCACCAATGGTGCCCATAGCCATCGTCGACTGGCCAGCCATCCGGCCCAGCACCGACGACGCGCCGCCTGCTCCAGCCGCAGCCGAGAAGACCTCGGCAGACTTGAGCCCATTCACACCAGCACGAGTTCCAGCCCGAGCAGTCTGCCAACCCCACATCCATGTCCACATCCATACCCACAAGCTCTTCTCATAAGTGTCGTCCCCCCCCCTCCTTCCACTCCCCCTTCCACTCCCGGTCACCTTGTCTGCCCATTATAGGTGTCGGTCCAAGATGAACAGCCAAAAATTGAAAGAGGCCACCGTCCAAGACCACGACCCGATCACCCCCCACACCCACACCCACCGCCACGCCCACCCCACCACCACGCGCACCACCACCAACAACCCCTTCCCACACGCACCACCACCACCACTACCACGGATACTAATCATACGTACAAGGGCACGGAGGGCAGTGGCCACAGGAGCGGTCAGACTACTACGAGTCACGCGCAGCATTGGTAGTTGGAGGTTAGTAAGGTGTCCCGCCCGTCGGCTATCGGCTCGTGAAGCGTCTGTCGGCTGGCCATTGGCCCCCCGGGGCGGCAAGGTGGGAGGGGGGGGGGGGGCAGCAGCAGCAAAGGCCTCGCCAATCATACTATCTGGGGACTGATCA